CTCAAATTGGTGCAAATTGGTACACTCCAATTTGGTGCACTCCAAATATCCTGGGCTTCAACTCTTAAAACTACAATCTAGCAAGACCCTCAGCCAGATTCCAAGGCACTAGATTCCCACACATTTGGAGGGACCCACCGTAGGGGAAGGCTGCACCAAGCAACCTGCCTCACCCACAGAAAAAAAGTAGCCCAGAATTATGACTTGACTTAAGCTAAATCAATGTTTACCAACCTGAGCAATTTGTAGGAACATGGACTTCAACTCCCAGAATACCTAGCAAGGATTATGCTGGTTGGGGAATTCTGGGAGTTGAAGGCCCAGGTTGAGGGAGATCTGATTTGGGACGTGTGTTTACTGTTGCTGTAGCCTTTTAACATGGTGACAATCCTCCATGGGGATATTGAATATATCAAATATTCCTCCTTAATTTTGACTTTCTACCTAGAACTAGATACAGAAGTATAATGGTATGTGGGAATGGTCTTGGGAGACAGGAGGAAGAGTTGCAGACTAGGCAATGGTCAGATAAGAGGCAGATGAGCCCGCAGCAGGAATGGGGGTGTGGTAAATGTCCTAGAAGGGATCCTTTCTAGTTTCTCAGAGTGTAAAGGTGAGCGGGGAGAGATGCACGTTCAGACTTGAAAGATTATGTTACTGCAAGGCAGACGAGAAGAGAAAAGCTTGCTTACGTTTCCTTACACAAAGGAAGGAAGGATGTGATCTTCCCCTCCAGGAAAAGTAAGATCTCATCCTCCCTTAGACCGAGACCTCCTCGCTCGTCATATGCTTAAGACGGAGCATTGACAGCTGACCCCAGCCATGGCGATTTCCCAAAGAGCAAATGCCTGCATCCCAAAGACAAAAAACAACCCCCCCCCAAAAAATCCGAAAAAGGAGGGACCTTCCAATACTTTCCAATGCTCTGACATCAGGTACAAGGCAGTCGTGGGAGTGGAGTATTGACAATTCCTCGACAACAGAGCTCGCCCAGGGGCGGAAGCAGGGGGATTTAATCATCAGGGAGATCTACAACACTTTTCGCTCAGCCAGTAAGCTGCGAGGACAAGGCAGGCATAAAAATGCCCACTGGTTCCTCTCGGAGACTGGTTGCCAAGGGCATCGCTGCTTGAGCGCTGCTGAATGGGGAGAAAATGGTGTTGTGTCAACGAATTTGCTAAGAGCGGTTTCAACAGTGGGGACTGACAGCACTGCCTCCGAATGCTACCAGATGGCTTCTGTACTCACCACACACATAGAAAAGCAAAACACGTGCACCCCCGAAAGAAAACATGCACGCACACGCACACACACACACGGGGGGGAGGAAGCTGCAAAAAATGTTTTCAATGATAATTGCTTTGCAAATAGCAAGAATTATGATGTACAAAGTCTTCTCCTGTTAACGTTTCCTGAGATGTCTTCCTGTGAATCTCACAGATTGAGGTGGACGATGTGTGGGGGGCCGTGCATAAAATAGTTCAGGATGGTGCAAAGCGGGTAGGCGTGGATGATTTCCAGCTTAACCATGTTTTAAACTCTGATAAATCTGTCCTACAGTCTATGCTACGGTCTCCATGTATTTTGCAGGAATGGCAGGAAACTAAATTTCAGCAATCCAAGATGAGGCTCCGAGAATGCTTACCGGATGTCAACTGCTACTATCAGGGATGGAATTAAGCATTGATGCGCTGAATGGACAGCTACTTAGGAAGGATAAGATATTACCCTGTTATGTGAGGGTTTTTTCCCCTGTTTATTTTGTCCGCTTTTGTAGGTATTTATTGGTTTTTAATTGTACGCTGTTAAGAGTTGGTTTCGAGTTGGAGCAGCCTTATAAATTGAAGTCATAAATAAATAAAGCTATTTAATTTAACTTTTATTGGCCTGGGACCGCAAATAAAGAAAGAAATTACATTGCACTGAATTAAATTAAATAAATAATAACAGAGACTCAGCGCATCCTAGTTATGAGATAGGCACTGTCCACTTATCTGCTAGCACAGCGTTTCTCAACCTTGCTAACTTTAAGATGAGTGGACTTCAACTCCCAGAATTCCCTAGCCAGCCATGCTGGTTGGGGAATTCTGGGAGTTGAAGTCCACTCATCTTAAAGTTGCCAAGGTTGAGAAACACTGTGTTAGAAGTAGAACATTTCTACATGGGGAACCACTTTGTTCCTTTCAATGGAAGAAGAAGAGGTCAAGCAGAGGCGTTGAAAAAGTTGCAAGGTCAGAACAGTCATTCTATCTTTACTGGGAGTGTTCAGATGGTGTTCCAACCTTAACGGATATGTTTCGAGGTCAGAACAGCATGGAAGGCTGACAACTGATTCAGGATAGCCTGTTCAGTCTTTGGAAAGGGGTATTTGGGGATTAGAATATTCCAGCCTTGGAATGTTTTGCACATCAGATTGGATTTGCATTCTTCTAGAGTCAAAAAGATCACGCACAGTGATTCATGCTTCTGCTACTGAAACTTTACACACAAAATAACTTGCTCTGAGAATCTGCTAAGGAGTGAGCTTGCCAATTTTAGAGAGAAATGGTTATCTATTCACTCTGCACTTAGCTTCAGTAGCCACACAAGAGCTCTACTCTAAAGGCAGATGGGGCCAAGATAAAGATATTGGCAGGGTGGGGACAAAGACTGAATTTGATTTAATTCAAATTTAATTTAAACAAGATTACATTAACCATGATTCACTCCCTAATCCCCTATGTCTCCCATGCCTGTTCACCTGTTTGTCACATTAAAAATTTAAGTTATGGCAGCAAATTTTGGAGGGGTTCTGACAGACACACACAAGGATTGGGAGGGACTACAGATTGTGTCCCTATTTAACAAGGGTGGAAAGCCATGGCTCTCCAGATGTGGCTGAATTATAGCAACCCCCTCTAAAAATGGCCATCAGTCATTCAGTAACATCTGGAGGGCTTCAATTCCCCATGAATGTGCTGGAAATGTTAGTGTGATCTGTGGTGATGCTCCTAGATAGAGAGTACATCTGAACAGTCCACAGACATCCATTCCAGTGATAGCCCTGGATGGGACACATTTCCTTGAAAGAGCAGGTCTGTGACTTGGGTTTTTCTGGTTGTGTGACTCCTACTAGAACAGCAGGCAGAGACTGAGGCCAGGGGACTCTCTGCCCAGTTTATGCAGGTGTAACAACCTTAGTCCTACCTGGATCAAGAAGATCTCATCACCACACAGCTTGATTACTACAAAGTACTTTACATGGGTCTGCCTTTTAAGACAACTGGGAAGCTACAACTGGTACAGGATGCAATAGCCACGCTGTTAGTAGGTAAGATTCACTACTGCAATAGAAACATCATTCCTCCAGTCATGGCACTGGTTACCAGTAGGCACCTGGGCCCAGCTCAACATCCTGCTTATTTCCCATAGAACCCTACACAGTGCAATCCCAGGCCATTACCAGGGATTTGTGATAGCCCTGATGTTTCAGAACACCTTCCCCAGAAATGCACGTGGGTGCCTTGTTTTGGACCTTTTGAAACACCATGAAAACATTTTTTTTTTTTTCCACCAGGCTTTCAAAGCCGAATGGCAACTGAATGGCTGCTGTTCCATCTTTTATATATTTTTATGTTGGGGGAGCTACTTTACTCTGTGTTGGAGGGTGAGTTTTATACTGTTTTACTGTATGGGTTATTGTTTAATGTTTTTGTACATTAAAAAAACTTTTTGCCTAAAGTCTCTTGATGGGAAGGGAAGGGAAGGGAAGGGAAGGGAAGGGAAGGGAAGGGAAGGGAAGGGAAGG